TAAAGTTTTTAGAGCAAGTTCATTCTAAAGTAACTATAAGCCCTATGTTGACCAAACTTGCATGGATGATACATAAAAGGATGCACATAACTGGACTTGCTTCGGATGCTTGATCTGACCTTCATTTTCCAGATGAGTGACTAAGAAGATTTTTGGAGTAGGTTCATTCTAAAGTAACTATTTGCCCTACCTGGACCGAACTTTCGTGGATGATACCTCTAAAAATGCACATTATTGGATTTGCTTTGGATGCTGAATTTGACGTACATTTCCAGATGAATGACCAGGTTAAAGTTTTTGGAGCATTTTCTTTCTAAAGTGACTGTAAACCGTATGCTATCCAACTGTGCACTGAAGATACATTTAATAACATTTATCATTTAACACTACTATTAGTTGCTTTGGATGCAGGATTTTGACCTACATTTTCCAGATGATTGACCAGGTTAAAGTTTTTGGAGCAGGTCAATTACATGTACCAAGAAACAATAAGACCTACCTGAACCAAACTTGCATGGATGATGAATCAAGGGATGAACACTCTCAAACTTGCTTCAGATGCTTGATTTGACTCATATTTTCTGGATGAGTGACTAGTGAAAGTTTTGAAATAAGTCCATTCCCATGTAAATGCAAGCCCTATCAAACCAAAATTGCATAAATGTTGTATCTAAGGATGCACACTACTAGATTATTAGTTTAATGTGGGACTTTGCCTTACTTAAAGACAATATTCGTTGAGGTGAGCTCTGTAATCTCTGATTACCTATGTTTAACGTGTATGATAAACACTGATAAACATACTATTTACATTTACTTACGAGGAAGGTGATAAGCTATTCAACTGCATCAATTTTTTTACCTTGAACTTATCTTTGACCTTGACCTCACTTTTCTCAATTTTTGTTTAACTCTGTTTTAAAGAAACCATTCATAATATTTTTATCAAATTTAATATGCTGATACGTATTAGTGAGAGCTATTCAACTGCATCAAAAACGTTTGACCTTGAACTTTCCTGTGACCTTGACCTCATTTTTCTTAAAATTGCACTTTGCTTAATTTTAAAGAAACCGTTTAAGATATATTTATGTAGGCTTATGCGCTTATACATAATTTGGTGAGAATTTATCATCTATATCCAACTTTTTAGATTTCAAAACTATTCAAAATACTCTCATCAAATTTCATACACTAATACAAATTTTCATGTTGCATTACTAATATGCCCTCAGCGGGGCATTAATGTCCTATGGACATATTTCCAGTTATTAGCAAAATGCTGATTTTTTAGCTCTACTGGTCAGAGACCAGAAGAGCTTATGCGATAGTAAGGTGTCCGTCGTCCGTCCATCTGTCTGTCTGTCCGTCTGTCTGTAAACAATTTTCAAAACGCTACTCCTCCTACAGTTTTAGTCCAATTTTAATATAACTTGGCACACAAGTAGACTACACTAAGATACATAATTTAGTGCATCGGTTTTTGATTTCGTTGGACGGTGTTGCCATGGTTACTAAAAATAGAAATTTCTGTGAAATTCCTTTAAAACGCTACTCCTCCTACAGTTTTGGTCCAATTTCAATATAGCTTGGCACACAAGTAAACTACACTAAGATACATAATTTAGTGCATCGGTTTTTGATTTCGATGGACGGTGTTGCCATGGTTACTAAAAATAGAAATGTCTGAAATTCCTTTAAAACACTACTCCTTCTACAGTTTTGGTCTGATTTCAATATAACTTGGCACACAAGTAGACTACACTAAGATACATAATTTAGTGCATCGGTTTTTGATTTCGATGGACGGTTGCCATGGTTACTAAAAATAGAAATGTCTGTGAAATTCCTTTAAAACACTACTCCTCCTACAGTTTTGGTCTGATTTCAATATAACTTGGCACACAAGTAGACTACACTAAGATACATAATTTAGTGCATCGGTTTTTGATTTCAATTGACGGTGTTGCCATGGTTACTAAAAATAGAAATTTCTGTGAAATTCCTTTTAAACGCTACTCCTCCTACAGTTTTGGTCTGATTTCAATATAACTTGGCACACAAGTAGACGACACTAAGATACATAATTTAGTGCATCGGTTTTTGATTTCGATGGACGGTGTTGCCATGGTTACTTAAAATAAAAATTTCTGTGAAATTCCTTTAAAACGCTACTCCTCCTACAGATTTAGTCTGATTTTAATATAATTAGGCATACAAGAAGACTATACTAAGATACATAACTTAATGCATCGGTTTTTGAATTCGATGAACAGTGTTGCCATGGTTACTTAAAATAGAAATTTTTGTGAAATTTCCATAAAACATTACTCCTCCTACAATTTTGGTCTGATTTCAATCTAATTTGGCACACAGGTAGAATACACTACGATACATAGTATGTATTTCTTTTTTTTTATTTCGGTGAATTGTGTTGTCATGGTTACTAAAAATAGAAATTTCCGTGAAATACTTTCAAAACGCTACTCTTCCTACAGTTTTCGTTTGATTTCAATATAACTTGGCACAGAAGTAGACTACATTAAGATACATAATTCAATTTATTGTTGCATGTTGCAAAGTTTCAAATCCATGTGCTACTTTTCTTTTGTTATACATACAGACCAGTAGAGCTACAGTCTCAACAGAGACTTCTGGTTCATTTTCGAAATTTTATAAGTGATTTCCTTGGGAGATGCATTTTTAGCTCACCTCAACGAAGTTGGGGGGAGCTTATGTGATACCCTCGGCGTCGGCGTTCCAGGTTAAAGTTTTTGGTGCAGTTTTTAAGTACTTCTATTCCCTACATTAATCAGAGATGCATGGAAGATGTTTGTAGTGTGTTTCATTGTACCAGTCAAGGTTTCAGATGCTAAAATTTCAGCTAAGGAATGACCAGTTTAATGTTTTTGGAGCAGGTAAAAGTTTTTGGTGCAGGTTAAAGTTTTTGGTGCAGGTCTCATTTCCAAGTAACTATAAGCCTTATGTTGACCAAACTTGCATGGATAATACATCTAAGGATGCACACTACCAGGCTTGTTTCAGATGCTGGATTTGACCTACATTTTCCAGATAAGTGAACAAGTTAAAGTTTTTAGAGCAGGTTCATTCTAAAGTAACTATAAGCCCTATGTTGACCAAACTTGCATGGATGATACATCTAAAGATGCACACTACCAGGCTTGCTTCAGATGCTGAATCTGACCTACATTATCCAGATGAGTGGACAGGTTAAATTTTTGGATGCAGGTCTATTACTAAGAAAGTATAAGGTCTATCTGAACCATATTTGCATGGATGTTGCATCAAGGGATGAACACCCTCAAACTTGCTTCAGATACTGGATTTGAATTATATTTTCTGAATGAGTGACTAGTTTGACGTTTTTGGATAAGTCTATTCCCAAGTAACTGCAAGCCCTATCCGATCAAAATAGCATAAATGTTGCATCTTAGGATGTACACTACTAGATTATTAGTTTAATGTGGGACTTTGCCTTACTTAAAGACAACATTCATGGAGGTGAACTCTGTAATCTCTGATTACCTTTGTTTTGCAGATTTAAGCTGAGGCCTAGCGAATGACATTCATGGTCCCAGATTGACCGAAGATTGCCAAAAACATTAAAACATTTGAAGTAGCTGAAGGAAGTTCATTATTCACTTGCAGCTGCTTGTGAAGGGAATTACAAAGGACACAATGGCTAGTGAAATGCATACCTCGAAAGGAAGAAGCTTCTTCCCTCTTTCAAATGATTTAATATTTTTAGTTCAGAGTATGACTTGCATTAATTTTTGTTTTAAAAAATGGCTAATGAAATAAAGAAAGTGTGTACAATACATCAGTTTCATATTTTGATGGATACAGGTTAAATAAAAAAAATTGTCTCTTGTATAAAGAACGGTGGAGTATTTGGCGTGTGATCTGCAGGAATCAGTGTACGTACAGAATATATGTACAAAACATTTATAGTGTCTGATAGCTGCATGGACAGATGTTTCAAAGAAACGCACAGGAAAATGTTACATTTAGTATGAAATACCTTGTCAAATTGTAATATTTAAGTCTGCTTGTCTTAATAGTTACATGTAAGACTAGATGATGTCATAAGATAGTAATACCAGCACTAAGGTGTTTGCCTCTAAATGCGCTCTCCTTCAAATTCTGGTTTTGCATGATTTGCTTGTTGTTTAACGTCCCTCTCGAGAATTTTTCACTCATATGGAGACACCACCACTTGCCGGTGGAGAGCTGAAAAATCTTGACCTATACTCGGCACTTAGGGCCATTGAGTAGTGAGGGATCTTTTTCGTGCCTGCACCTACTGCAACACGGGACCTTGGTTTATACGGTCTCATCCGAAGGACCGGTCTCCACAGTGGGATTCGAACCCGCGACGTAAGGATCAACTCCTTACTCCGCGACTCTAGAGCGAACGCTCTAACCACTGCGCTACGCGGGCGACTTCTGGTAACGAGAGAAGAAGCACACATTTAAATCAAGCATAAAATGCTCTGGGGTACATGCAGCCTATATGGACCTCTTATGTAAATATTTCATTACCAGTCTGACATAACATAATTTAATAATGTAAATTCTGTTAAAGAGAGAATGTTTGAAAGATTTCTGTAAAAAAAAAAAAAAAAAAAAAAAAAAAAAAAAAAAAAAAAAAAAAGAAAAAAAAAGGAAAAAGGGGTGGTGGTGTAATTTTGGCCCAGAATTGGAACTTGTTGAATTTATTGTCAAAACAACAAATATTATTTTAGTGCATAGAAGTTTTGATAAAACTTTACAAAAATTAGATGCCAAAATGACTTGTGCAAATTTTTATCAGTATTTGGGTAGGACTCGGAGAACCCTTTTCCAAACCTTGTCCCGATCAACTTTGTCAAAAATCAACCCTACCCATGATTCACCTGTTTTCCTGTCATATTTTGAATAGCTATAGGTAACACAAACTTATGTAAAAATAAAACATTGTATGTAATAATAATATAAATTTTACAAATGTACACCTTTTTGGAAAGTTTCTAGACCAGCGCATGACGTTGGCTTATTACGTCACACTACGAGCACTACTTTTAATTTACTGTTATCATTATTGGATTGCATATGGTGTATGTACATCATTATTATTTTAGTGCAATATTAATACATGTAGTGTGTGTTTTAAATGGATTTATTACTCTATGATATGGCAAGCCCTTTTACTATTTATTCGTAAAATAATTTTTTTCTTTCAAAAAGAGAGATATCTCTATAACTTAGAGAGAGATCTCTTTAGCTTAAAGAGATATCTCTTTAACTAAAAGAGATATCTCTTTGACCAAGAGAGATATCTCTTTGACTAAGAGAGATATCTCTATAAACAAAAGAGCTATCTCTTTTTGCAAGAGAGATATCTCTTTTACTTATGGAGATATCTTTTTAAGCTAGGGAGATATCTCTTAAAGCGAGAGAGATATCTCTTAAAGTTAGAGAGATATCTCTTTAACAACGTTAAAAGAGATATCTTTCTAAGTTAGAGAGATATCTCTTTAGATTTTCAAAAAGAGATATCTTTCTAGATTAAGGAGATATCTCTTTTAATGAAAGAGATATCTTTTCACAAGTTATCCATAAAATGAAATAATTATTTCTCCCCTTTAATACGAAAGTGAAGCTAGACACCACATGGCAGGAAGTGTAATGTAAGATCATCTGATCATGTAGATCTCTGCCACTGGAATAGATTCAGCATGCCCAATCCCAGAATGAAGTATGTAAAAGAAATGCTAAATTCCCTGTTTGAAACAACAAAAGGATAATGACTACTTCGTTTATTCGGGAAAACGAAAGTAGCAATAATCTCAACTGCAGTGGACCGAATTTTCTCATCTTTTGAAATAATCAAATATTTCTAATTTTAAATCTATACAACACTGAATTACTTGTCATATTTATTTAAGTTATAATGTAAAATAGGTCAAATTTTAAGACTACTTTAACATCCTCGTCGAAATCAAGTTGGAGAAATCGGGTGGGGGTCTATTCCGTTGAACAGTGAACTTTTGCTGAATATTTTAATTGGGCGTAATTAATGTTGTTTTGTGGGGGAAAAGTGTGGAGATTTGCTCCCACCCACCTACCAGCAATTCTACTAGTAAGTTAGGTTCTGATACTCATGGTTTAATGTTCAGGTGCTAGGGGGAAAGGACCCCCCCCCATCAGGCCCGTTGCAACGGGGGAAGGGGAGGGGGGTAAGCAACTTCCCCAAAAAACATTTATGGCTCCCTGAATTATTTTTCATGATTTTTTAAGCATTTGTTGATATATAATGCACTATAAAAAATTGACAATTGATGGAAATAAGCTATATATGTATCCAGAGACGTATATGTCTCTGGTCTCTGATGTATCCACCCCCCCCCCCCCCAAAAAAAAAAATAATAACCTCTCTTTTTATATCATTGGTATATTTTTTATACATAGCTTATTAATGCATTAATTGTGAATTTTTATAGTGCATTATACATCAACATATGCTTAAAAAAATAAGTCATATAAAATAACTTGGGGAAACCCAAAATTTATGGAGGGTGGGGGTGGGTTGTGTTCCTGTCCCCTTTAAGCACCTGTGGTTTAATTACGTACATTTTGTCTCTTGTCTTTTATACAGTAAGCTTAACTCTGACTGATTGCAAGGATCAATAATATGCGTTGGTCATTATCCTTCAATAAACCACAAAAACAAATTTAAATAAATTCAGTCTAACTGAAATTAGCTCTTTGTTCCGCTCCAACAAGATTGCTACACATTGCGTCTAGTTGGATTTAATTTTGATTTTTTGTGCTCTCACTAAAGGAAAGGGATCAAGGCATTCTTTGATTTTGATGCAAATTCTATTGTGTGAAATGGAAATAAAAATTATAATAATGGATAGCCAAGTCTGTAGCTTGAACTTGTTTTTTTTTTTTAGAAGTTTAAAAATTTGCCTTAGCAGAATAGAAATACTTTCCTTGTCCTTGTTCCTTGAAATGTAGGAGAATATAGGTACCCCTTAAGCTTCAGAATTTTTTTGCCCCCACCATAAAATGGTCGGGGGCATATATAAGTGTTACCCTGTTCCGTTATTCCGTCATCATTGACTTTCTGTTCATTATCTTGGCAACAGTTGTACACATTCAACTCAAATTTGATAGGAATATGCAGGTCAAGTTAGAATTTGGTCATGGTTTGGTGATTTTTGACAGTTATCCCCCTTGAACTTGGAAAAGATTTAAAAATTCACAATTTCTAATCATTATCTTGGCTGCAAATGTGCAATTCACAATTTGCAATTTTGGCTGTCTGCGGGGGGAATTTGTGGGGTTACCACACATTTAGTGTGTAAAATAAAATCCATGCCCTTTGGTCTTAAATGTTTTCATTTCCCAACAAAATCTATCATTGTACATGTACATTCTCTGACAATTCCTCAGAATTTTTTTTTTATATTTTTGAAATCAAATATTTCTGAAATTAAGCACTGTTTACTGTTTAGTGCAGTCATTTAGGGTAATATTCCAAATCACTTTTCATTTTTTTTGACTGCAAAAGGTGTAAATAATTTTGTGCTAGTAATTGACTGTTTGGTATTGACAGAAAGCAGTTTCAGTGGCTATGGCAAAATTCATTGAGTATACCTTCCATAAAGTAACCATGACTGGGAGTTGTTTTTTTTTAATCTCTGATATAATGTAAAACAGGTCCCTTCAAATAATTTGTTTTTTGTGTGTTGCAGGTTGAGACATCTGAGTTGTGTCCCCTCCTTTGTCATAATGCCAGCTAGTGTAAAGGTGAGATTGATCAATGTACTCTAAGCTAACTTAGGACTGTGCTCTAGACCTGGTGTATTCCTAAGGGAATAGAGAGCCAACATATTAGATAGTTTAGAAAGGTATTTATTCTTACTTTTTGTTTAATGAGATTACATGACTAAATATTAATAAAATATATGTTGTATTTGTATAACTATATACAAATATAAAAGAGATAGCTCACCTATGCACACCTATGCAGGTGAACTCAAAGAGCTGCAAAACCTCCCAGGTTATTTATGGTGTGTTAACACTGTCAGGTCTACGATGCAACTGAACATTATTGTTTATAGTTGACAACCACTCAAAGAATATTGGGATCTTGAGCCCGATCAATATTTACTACATATATTAATCATATCTTAATGAATTCCATCTGTCCACCAACCTTTGATTTACCACATATTTCAAAAAAAAAATTGTTAGAGGAATTTCCATTACAGAAAGACAACTATAGTTGTAAGGGTCCAATCACTATGAATCAATGTCATTGAACATTTATGTGGGAATTGGATACAACTCGGTCAACAGTATTAGTTTTCTTTGTAATATCCTTATAGCTTTCAAATTTTATACATCTTTGGCCACAGCAGGAAGACACATGTAGTTTATGAGATCATACAAAATAAGTTTGTTTGTTTGTAGACCATTCATCACATTTATGGTGATGTGTTCAATACACATTAATAAATATATGTATATCTTTAATTCATTCTGTCTTACAAATTAAAACACTTCAATATTATATACAGAAGTAGTTGATGAAAGGTTGACACCTACATACACTGTAAATGAACTTAAGACATACCAGGGACATGTTCTAAGATTGAACTGTGTGTCTTTCAAGCTTGTTTACTTCCATTATGAATTAATAATTAAATCCTAAGTTAGGCCCTCACTCACTTTCATATTTTTTAAGTTTTATATTATCTATTCCTTTATTTGCTTAGCTGTTTACTTGACATTTGAATTATCATAGTTACATTACTACATTTTGTTA